GAGAGAGAGAGAGAGAGAGAGAGAGAGAGAGAGAGAGAGAAAGAGAGAACTACTTGCGGTGCATCTCATGCGGGGGGGTGCCGCATGCGCATGCACGCGCGCACAAGTGATGCGGCGCATTGAGAAAGTAGAAGAATAAAAACGTCCTAGTGTTGTCCAGCCTCTTTTCGGAAGGATCCGTACAGCATATTAGCTAGGACCCGACTTCATGCCGAGATACACTTCAAACTTGTACTCCGTGAGGGTGGGCAGAGAATATGTAGTCTGGATTCGAATTCAGGTCTATGCATCTCGGTTACAGGTCACTATTTCTCTGTTTTCTCGCTTTTCTTTTCTTTTCTCGTTTTTCTTTTCTGAGGAATACGTGCAGTGGCCCTAAGGGCCTCTACTCACCAAATGCACAAAAGACAAAACATATGGTGGCGTATTAAATTTTGTTTGCTCGTTGTTCGCCTGATGCTGGACGCCACTAGCGAGAATATGGAAGAGATCCGGCGACTTTTTGACAGGTTCACAACAGTCTCAGACATGACAGTCAATTGGGGCAATAAAACCTTGGGATGGTGGATTCACTATCAAGGGGTGCGCCCCCCGGAGCTTCCCCGGGTAAAATGGCTCCCGGAGTCAGCCCTGGTGAGAGTGTTGGGAATTATGTTAACAGCAACCGGAAGGCCGGCGTCCACCGATGAGGCGATTCTCAAACCCGCACTCGCGAAACTGGCACACTGGAATGATCAACACACCTCTCTGATTGGATGGGCGCTAGTGATAAACAACGTTGTTCTGGCCGCCTTATGGTACAAATCGGCAATTTGGGCGTTGAGTAAGGAAGCGGTGCGGTCACTGAAGCGACGAATAAATGCGCTACTATGGAGAGGTAACAGCGATCTGCCGAATGTGATAAATAGAGTCGCCTGGCGGTCGGTTGTACAACCCAAGGATAAAGAAGGTCTGGGCATCCTAGACCCTGCTACTCAAACCACGACACTCATGGTTCAATGGATTAAGAGGATGATATTTACCAAGGAGCTCCCCTGGCGTGCCCTCGCGCTGGAACAGATCGCCCGCCTGGCCCCACAAACACCGCCAACGGTTGATTCCTTGACCTGGCTGGAGGATCTTTTCTGGTCCATACCGAGATGCCCTCGGACCGACCTGACGGGCAGGGGGGCAGCCCGTGGGGACCTGGCAAAAGACGACTTCTGGGTCCGTTGTCTGAGGGTTTGGCGCCAGCTCCCGCTCCCAGATAAGCCCGGGCCATCCAGATGGGAGGAGGTCACCAGACAACCCTTGTTTGGAAACAGAAAGATCACAGACCGTAACGAAAGGGTTTATTGCAGCTCGGCCCCCCCGTGGAAAAGCTGGGTGAGGAAAGGCATAATCAGGGTCAAAGATATTTGGGATGCAGAAAGCATGGACTGGAAAACAGCCCCGCAGATGAGGACGGCACTGAAACATTGTCACAACTTGGAAATGAACCTGGAACAACTGATTTTTGCAATCCCGCTGGACTGGGTCCGCATTCTGCGAAAGGGCCCAGGACTAAAGGAGGGGGATTGGATGGCTGTCCCGGGAGACCCAGAGAGTGTGGGGAGTGTCGTGGAGGTGCGCGCGAACGAGTCATTGGTAAACCTCTTCCACAAAAAAACAGACAATCTGCTAACCAGGTACACCCCGGAAGTGACGAGATGGTACCCAAACGCCGACCTGTATCGGATTAGGGTGCTACATAAAAAGGATGGCTGGTTAGCATTCTGGCCCGAGACCCGGTTAGCGGACCTCCCCCTAGACCCGGAGGAGTGGCAATGGCCGCCTGCGCGCAAAATTCAGTTAGCTAAGAAGGTGAATCTACTGAGCCTTTCGGTGAAAACCACGTATCGCCTGCTGCGGCCCAAAGTAAACCTGAAAGACATCGTGAAGGGCCGCTGGAAATCCCATATGAATCTGGGGGATGATGTCATCCGCCCTGTTCGGTGGTTCGCCCTCACGCGGTCAAAGCCTGCAAAGTTGGCCTCGTTGCAATGGCAGATAGAACAC